CATCCTCCTCCAGCTCTGCTGCATTCGAGTGCAATAAAAAATAATTGAAAATTCAGTCACGTAAACGTTTTCCCGCCGCCGTTCTCTCCGAAAGAGATCGCTGATCGCGCGACTCATTAATCCATTGCGGCAGGCTCTTTTTGCGGATCGCTTGTGGCAGGCAACCATTGAGATGGCAGATCGGAATATATACAAATATTTCATGGAATTTGGGGAAGGCTATCTTTGGATTCTCACTTAAACACATTATCTTCTATGCCTCCTTTAATTCATTTCAAATCTAATCTCTTTGATCAAGTGTCAAAAAATCATCAAACTTCGCCTCAGGCTCAGGGGAAGCCTTCAATCGACACTCACGCTGCCATCTCTCATTGTAGTCTCTGTTGTTGCATCGTTGGTTGTGTGCCCCATAATAAAAGCACGCGGCTGGCTTCGCTTATCAACCAGCGACAATCGGCGGAACGTCGACCAGGAGAGAGAGAGAGAGAGAGAGAGAGAGAGTGGCAGAGTCAGCGGCTGTGGGGGGAGGCAGGCAGCACTCTTCATATTTAGGTTAAAAAGGCGTGCATGCAATTTACTTCCCCCCACGAAGAGCGAGTGTACGTAGAGAGATGATCATCATGATTACAAACCCAAAAGACACACTCCACTCCACTCCACTCCGGTTCGGCGTTGATGATGAGTTTGATTGAGGCGCGGTGTGGCAAGGGGCCAGGAGGGCAGCTCAGCGACTTAGTTAAGGCTGCAGTTAATTAATTGCTGCAACTGCAACGAACGGAATCTCTCTCTACGCTGGCAGGTGGGCGTGGACATGGATATGATCTGATGTTTTTTTTTTTCCTTTTTTGCAGGTGGTTTTGCGAAATTAGAAATCTGAAGCCGAACCGATCTAACCGGCAGATAAGCCGCAACAGAGAGAAAATCTACGAGTCGTGAGTCGGGTTTGTTGGGTATTTTCTTCCGTCATGATTCTGTAGAATATTTTCCCCCGTATTCACCCACGTAAAAGAGAGTTCTGTGCTGAAAACTCCCACAGTATTTTCTTCTACCTCAAACGATTATTTGTTTCCTACTTGTACTAAAATCCTAATTTCTTCTACTGAAAACTGCACAAACATTATGCTTTTTCTTCTACTGAAACCTTAAAACCTTTTATTCTCCTAAAAACGTCAAAAAATTTCACCTTTTTGTCCAGAATTTGCGTATTTTTTCCACTTAAAGCCTGCACAGTTTGTGCATCTTCTGTGACTCGTGCAACTCCCTTTGACAGCTGCAGCTGCTGAGAAAATGGTGGAAAGTGTTTGCGACAGAAGACAGAATGTCAACCGAGGGAAAATTGCAACTGAAACGAGTTTCGCCTTTGTCACCTCCGTGCCCCGTTTTCCGACTCCCGTCTCCCATCTTCATTCCCTGTTGGAATCTTACCCCGTCGTTGGGTTGTTTGCAGCGAAATTGAAAATACATTTTTAATGATTTGTTGCTCAGAGATGCAGCCACATGTACGCCAGGCGGCAGTGGCATCAATCGCTGGTGTGGCGAGTGGAGACTGAGGCAGTTCGATGAACCGCCAAAAGAAGGAAGAAAGAAACTCTGCTGTCTATTCACGTGAATCATCTTCCGTGATCGGGCCTTGTTTGCACGCGAACTGCAGCAGCGGGAGGGCTCTCCTTCTCCTCTTCAATTTATGGCATTGCCCCAAAGTGGAGCACTTAAAGGCAAAAGCGAAAGAAATACAAAGCCCCAAAAAGAGACAATGAGGATCGCTGGATCGCTGGGTCGCTGGGTCGCTGGCGGCAGTCACGAAGGCATACACCAAAAAGTGATATTTTATTTGTGAAAGGGAATGTGACTTAAGGATCCTCCACATAGGAGCATCTCCGGGTTCTTGTGAAATGAATGGCTGTCAAAGAGCTGCCCCGAAAAGTGTGGGACGGGACACACTTGATTAATTGTGCTGCCTTCAACGTATCCGTTAGATACACTTGACTTTTGTGTGTGTGGCTGGCAAATGAAATTGAATATGCCAAAATATTGCCAAGACACTTGAGGCTGTCAGTGGCATCCGTACCTACGTATCTGTCTCTCCATGTATCTGTCTGTCTAAGTGTGGATAATGAAGTGCTGCAGCTGCATAGATACATATCCTTTTGACAGGGCGAAAACTTGAAAACAAATAAGCACAGATACAAAGGACCACCAGCAGGACATTAGAATATCTAATAGATGCTGTCCACTGTCCACTGTCCTCTGTCCTCTGTCCACTGCCCACAGCCCGCTGTCTGCTCGAGTACATTCTGAAGCTTAGCCTAAAATGTGACAACAACAAGATGCCGTATGTGTGTGTGTGTGTGGGTCTGTGCATTGCCTTAAGATACAAATGTATCTACAGCTGTCATATCAAGTGGCCTGCCGTCCACTGCTGCCTGTGTCTGTGTGTGTGTGTGTGTGTGTATTTGTTGCTGTGGTCAATGCCATTTGCCTAAGAGGATTTTAAAATTTTAAATTAAGTGGCGTTGCTTTGAGCGCTGCAACTCTACTCTGAGTCTCTGTGGCATCCTGCGGTTTGCTTGCATAATTGTCCTCCAGTCATCCGTTTGCCCAGTCCCATGGCGAAAATGCAATTTTAATGCCCGACAGAGCTCTCCCCCGCACCAGTGGCAGGCCAAGTACGAGAGCCAGTGGCATTGCCTCAATTTGCTCTTTGGCTCTCATTGTTTAATGCTTGGTTACATCCTAAATGGCCGTGCTAATTGAAAGATTGGCCCCCTCGAATCTCCACTCACCCATCTCCACTCTGCACCCAAAAAGTATCCATCAGATACGTCCTACCCGTTGTGGAAGTTGACCCTCGGACCCCAAAGTCAATTTGTCGTTGTACTTAGCCGCACACATAAATTCCCCAAGTCCTGGCTTCAGTCGGGCAGGGACTCCAACCCCCAATTTTTCGGGGCATCCACGTTGCACATTACAACTTTGAATGCCAACTCGCAAATGAACTATAAATAAATAATTTCGCTCGCTAGAAACAACCAACGAGCGAGCGGACGAGCAAACGGCAATGTTCCAGAGGTCATTCAGTACGACAGAGCAACAGAGCGCGAGAGTTGCTTCAAGGACTTGCAGGAAACGAAACGAAACGGAAAAGGAGAAAAAAAGTATCGGTCGATATTTTAACGGTTTTGCAGTACTTTGGGAGCTGTTTTGCTTTTGGGTTTTCTTCCTTTTTTATAACATTTTATAAAATTGTTGTAGAGTAGTTGGGATTTATTCTCTACAGTGCTCTTTTTTGGTAGCAGAACTGGGAGAGTTGTGTGGTTCAGCCTTTGATTTCTTTTAGTTTAAATTTAACCTCAAGAATGACTTTTATGCCGTGCATAAAACCTTCTAATTTTAATCCGGAAACTATTATTTGTAGACACATTTGACCCCATATTGTTCTTCTCAATGTCAAACCTCATTCCAAATTCCAATACCTGTTGTCACGGCCTTTAAAACTCTTATATCTCCCCACTGCATTCACACACGCTGCCAAAAAAAAAGTATTTGTATATTTTGGGCTGTCAGAAGAGCGGAAACAAAGAGAGTGAGAGAATAAATGAAGGCGAAATAAACAAAATGAAGGAAAACTATCGAAACGAAACGTTCGCCGGCAACAAATCGCCCGAAAAACAAAAGAAAAATAAAAGCAAAAAGAAACTTTATAACATGTCTGCAGCAGAGACAAAGATACATATTCGTACGCTGACTCGTACTCGCAGATACTTTCATACAATGGCCGGCAGCAACAGCAGCGGCAGCAGCAACAGTGGCAGGTTCCAGCTACAAGTTCATTAAATAAATTATTCATACGCAGCGTGTGCCGAGCACACAAAAATGGCAACCTGACGTTGCCGTCGCTTCGCTTTGTTTCACTTTTCCGTACGATACGACACGGCACTCCCGTCCTATCCCCTTCCCGTTGGAGGGAGATTCATTGGCAGTTTGTTTTATTTGCCAATGTCTGTGGAATGAAAACGCATTCGGCTTAAATATTTATGCCCAAATGTCTGTGTTTGTGTGAGAGAACGCGCGCGCACCCTCCCCCTCTCTCGCTCTCTCGCTCTCTCTTTCCCTCTGGGGCAAGTTTTCCATTTTCCCAGCTTCATTTTCATGCTCAGCATTGACATTTTGTGAATGCGACGCTTTAACTTCTGGTGGCAAGCACTATTAGGCTCTGCTGGCAACCACTTTACTCTGGGCAAAGTCTCTCCCATTTCTACATCCCATCGCCCACTTGCACTGAGCGTCACCCATTATCCTGTCCCACCATAAAAGTATCTGCCCCTCATTTACAATGCAAAAACCCCACACCCCCCACCGCAGTCAAAGTATGCAACACTTTTTGGTCCAGAGCAAATCAAAATCTAATTTCATTTCAACTCTTAAAATGAAAAATCTCCCTTGCCCTCAACACTTCTCACTCTTTCGTTTCATTTATTTGCATATGGCTATGAAATTGTAAGCTGTTAAATGGAATTTTTTAGTTAGCTCTCTCCACTCGTAGTGCAGCCCTCACTGAGGTGCACCAATAAAAAAATCCATAGTGAAATATGTAAATGCCATTCCTGAAATGTAAATGCCAACAACCGACAACCGGAGAACACTGGAGTGCAAGTGCACCACCGCCGACGCCGCCGACAAGTGGCATGGAATACTCGTGCTCGTACATGCTGCATTTTTGACAGTTGCAACTCAATTTCATCCCTCAGCCCACCCCATTTTGTGGCATGTTGAAGTTTTGGCTGACATTTCTGCAGCTGCTGTGCGGTTGGCTGAATTATTTTCTGTTCTTTCGATTCTTTTCATACCCAAAGAGCGCTGGGGCATGCTGACGGGCTGGAGATTTTTGCAGCAGAAAGAAATACCTTCAAAGGTTGGAAGATCATTTATTTTTCACAGAACTAAGCCTTGGCAAAGCAGTCACGTTTATCATATAAAAAAATGAAATAAATCTCAGCTTTGGTTAGAGCCATAAATATTTGAATTCTTCCAAAGATCATGGACACATCAGCGGTCTATGCTCGCGTTATTAAAATTCTTGGCCGCACTGGCTCTCAGGGTCAGTGTACACAGGTCAAAGTGGAGTTCCTGGGCCAGCAAGACCGTCAGATAATCCGTAATGTGAAGGGACCCATCCGCGTGGGTGACATTCTCACACTCTTGGAGTCGGAACGTGAGGCCAGAAGGCTTTGCTGGGAGAGCACAACACAGCAGATGTCTTGGGGTGCTTGAAATTTCCCGAATCGTAAGTTCGTGTGGCAAAAAGACAAAGAAAACCGGCTCTGAAGGGATTTTCCTGAATTTTTTAGATACTTTTGGGCAACAAATGCGAAGAGTATAGAGAAGACATCGGTTAGGTATGTCTGCCAGCGAGAGATGATCGAATACGATAATACAATAAAAAGACATTGATTTATTCTGCTGAAGAGTTAAATTGTTATTTTTGATTTATTCCAACAGTACAATTCGCGTCGAAGATATCACAGCAGGGGAAAGCAGGGCCTGAGATTCCGTTCCGAGAATGCAACAACAAAATACACACACACACGGCATTGCCACGCGTGTTGAATTTTGCTTATAAAATCTGTGCTTTAAACTAAGAGCTAGACGTACACCTCGAAGACTTCAAGGGGAACGCGCGCTACACAAATATTTTACATCAAATCGCCAAGTTGGGCGATGCAGCTGATTCGATGTAAACAAATTTCAACCATAATTTTACAACGATAACAGGGAACAAGATAATTGTGCATCGCTGCACATTAAATAATTATTTGAATAAAAACGATATCTGAATTTCGTGTCAGCTTTTCAGCATGTACATATGTAAATAGTTTTTCGGAAGTGTTGAGGTATAAGGGCCGCTTTTCGCGGAGAATTTCAATGAAAGTAATGCAAATGATGCTCCGAACTAGGTGAAGAAATAAAAGAAATATTTCAAGACTCTGTTTTGTACTTCTCATAAATATTCGTTCCTTCCATTGCTACAAGGCAGCAACTACTTGCAACTTGTCCCGTACCCTCAGTAATCTCTCTCTTAACACTGCTTTCCACCTCACTATTGTCTGTTTCCCACGCAATTCCATCAGTTCGACAGACAGACAGACAGACAGCCGAGCGAATGTCAACGAACTAGCAATTTTTTCGAGTTTGCCAAAGGAAAGGAATTTTCCCGCTTTCTAGATTTTACAGAAAAACGAAGTTCATTAAAGAGCAGTCAGTCGCCCGAGAACAACGGAACATATGAAGAGCGATCCCAAACATAACAATTGACAGTGACAAAGGGGAAAAGAGACCCAAAGAGGGAAGGAGAGGGAGTATGAGAGATATTCCCCAGAGATGGGAGCCAGACTGCAGCAGCGGAGGCGGCAGAATTATCTAATAAATCTGCGAGCACTTTTTACCCGAAAACAACTGAGAATTTAATTAAAACTAAGCTCTTCATTTGACGACCGCGACAAACGTCCGCCCCTATTCCCTATCCACGGTTCAGGGGGCGTGGCAATTGGCAAAGCAGCTGCAACAGCTGTGTTGGGGCTACAAAAAGATACAAAACAGTACAATCCAAAGAACAGCAAAGAAGGAAAAACTTTCGCTTTCCACGGACTGGAGTTGGCAACGCAGAAAATTGTGGGAATTTTTAATGAGTCTGCCCGTCTCCTCTCCATCTTAGGGATGGGATGAATGTTCTTGGGCGCACTGACTGCCAGCCATATGCTAATGCTAATGATTATTGTCATCATCTTTCAGCATTTAGTTATTCATTATTTGAAATATGCTTGTCTCTCTGGGCGGCCCAAACAAAAACAAAAAATTAACGTCAAATAATATGTTTCCATTATGTTTTGTCTTTGTCTTTTTCTCTCTGGGTTCTCTCTGCTTCTCCCTCATTTGGCTCTTTAATTAATTTCACTTCATTTTGTTATTAATGCGCCCCAAATTATGCTTCCTCTCTCTCTCCTCCTCCTCCACCATACATTTTTGCGGTTAAATGACCAGGGAACGGTAGAAAATTGGTTTAGATTATGCATGAAAACTTGTGGCATTTTTTCTTGCTTATTTTTTAAAAGTTTTGCAATTATCTCAATTTCTGGTGGTCTGTGTGGAAAAAAAAAAGTTATCGCTTGTTAGGGAAATTGTCCAGAAGTGCTTGTACGCCATTTGAATTTTATCCATTTTGCGAAAGAAAACAAAACCTCTTTAGAATGTGGGTCTCTTAGCTCGGAGTTGGCCATCTCTAGCCAGTGGTTTCATCCCCAGATTCCCGGCAATACAACGGTACAAAGTACGGTAAAACGGCAAACAGTATCGACAGCAAGGCAGAGAAGCTACAGGCAAAGATAGAGAAGCAGGTAGAAAGAACAGCAAAGCAGAGGGAAATAATGCAGCAAAGCGTCAAGCTGGCAGAGGATCAGCCAGCGTAGCATAGGTTTCGGGCAGAGACGCGGCGAAGACAACAGCCGAGGCATTTGTCACGAAGAAGAGCACGAAGCCAGAATCGTAGCGAGCCGAGAAGCCGAGCGGGTGGGAACAAGCATCCACGCAGATTGGGCAGAAGCACCGAGTACAGGCAGCGACGTCACAGAGGGGCAGAGACCGATCAGGAGCCAGCCGCCAGAGAGATAGTGGAAATATACAGTTTACACGCGGTTTTGTGCTGGTATAAAGGTGAATATAATTTCCTTTGCATTACCATAAATTTGTGACAAGCTCAATTCACGAAAAGTTTGCCTACAAATCCATTAGAAACCCATTATTGCCGCCATTTCACAGAGAGCACTCTCACAGTTGGAGCAAAATCCGTACAAAAAAAAACTCCAAAACTGCCGCCATGACGACCAGAATGCACAACCCAAAACAATCCGTGCAGCCAAAGCTATAGAGGACAAAGGAATATGTACTATGTAGATGGGGGCGTGCCAACGCCCATGTTATGGTGAGGCATCGATGTCAGCAACAATTTTGCCACCCAACCCAGACTAAAAGCAAAATCCCAGCGTGACTTTCACTCCCGCACCCCCTCCCAGTGGCGTGTCGAATACATTTTATTTAAATAAATAATTTTTCCATTAACCGCAAACATGGATTTTGGTGCAATTGCATAAATGGAATGTAATAAATGAGGTGCAGTGCAAAAGGCGTTTGTGATTACAGGGGGAGGGGATAGTAGTTGGGGGGGGGTACTGTTGGTCCTTTGTCGTTGTTGTTGCGGCTGATGGCGTGTTGACGCGGTCTCGCTTTTGGTATTCCGATTTCCAGGTTGCACTGCGCTTCGCGTTGCATTGTTCGGTTCCGCATAGCAGCCCTGCCCCAACTGGTTTTTCTGTGCTGGAAATTAGTTTGTAATTTGTTTAGTTTACACAGAAAATGGCCGCACAATGCATTTACATATTGCACATTATGTTGTTGCGGTCGCATTGTTGCAGTTGCCGTTGCAGTTCCAGTTACACTACCAATGATTTGCCCATTTTTGTTGTCGTTGCTCTTTGAGCCATAAAGAGCATAAACTATTGGCGGTAGGACATGGGTTGTTAAATTGTTAATGCCGACTTTTAGGCGTCCAATGGCTGCCTCGCCCCTACAGCTATCCGATCTGTCTCTCTATTGGGGTTAGTTTATTCAATTAATTAGCTGACTTTGAGGCACAGAGAGGGAATATGAGTGTGCCACTAGATTACCAATTGAAAGTAATCGTTTTTGTTTAAATTTTCCAGGTTTGTAGATAGTATCCATAAGATCTGGCCACTCTGTTGTCAAAACTTTCGCTCTCTCTGCCAAATCATTTCAAATTAGTTGATAAAAGATCCCAAACGTCCCCCAACTTCAGCTCATTTCTGATGTCTATTTATATTTATATCGCAGAGACCTACTGCAACATTTTGCTTCCGTCATTGCCTCGTTGTGGATACAAATATATTTCTCATTCATTAATTCGAAAAATTATAAACCACAAAACTTTTCCTCAAACTTTGCCACTCATCACTGAATCTGCCAATGCAAGAAGTTTTTGTGTTTATTTCAGAATTCACTCAAAGTTTTTGTGCCACAGTTATCCAAACAACATCCACCACAAGCGACGACTTCCTAGTTCTATTGCTCTGCGTGTGGATGGATGTGGGTGTGGGGTGTGGGGTGTGGGTGTAGTGGGTGTCTGACTCTGACTCTCTGGTATCCATTTGACAATTCAATAGAAAACTGACCGACCTCACGCAGAAATAGCACCCACAGAGCCATAGAGCCACAGAGCAACACAGCCACAAACCATTCCATAAACAAAGTGATTTCAATTGAAAAATTATACAAAAATAAGAGAGAAATGCTAAGGATAGAGAGTCGAACATTTGGATACTCTTGCTGAAAGATCTTGCTATCTAAAAGTAACGATTCGATATTGAAAGGGTTCTGTAAGACGTTTCTAAGAGAAAACTCATTTAAGAGCGGAGATAAATGATCTGACTGCTCCTCGTACCCCATATACCCTCTCGAAGAGAGGGTGCACCTACAACATTATCACTGGGTGAGGCATTTCCACAAATTTCGTGCTCGACCGAAATGTCTTTCAAGTATTCGTAAACAAAACAAAATTTAGCAGAAAGGCAGAGAGCTGCAACGGGTCTCTCCGGAGTCTCGAGGTCTCCACCCACTTGAAGCCATCGTCGCCTCATTGCCGACATCCTGCGTGTAGCATTTTTTATTTGTATTATTCTATTTTCTGTTATTATCGAAACGTGCAGTGACAATTTGTTCATCGAATTTATGGGCCATTGTGCAATAGAAGCCACTCTAGTCCGACAGCTTCAAGAAATATTTTAATAATTTTATACGATTTTTACAACGTCACGTTCGAGAAGCGATTTCCAGCGAGTGAGAGAGATGGCCGAGAACTTTTCCGCCTGGTCTGCCAGCCTTTTTATGAATTTCTAATTAGACAATTTCCAACGCACATTTCTGACACCTCTGTCTCGAACGGGTTAAGTCGTAAAGCCCCTGTAAAGGCAGGCCCCTGTTTTACGACATTTTTATTTAATTGCAAAAAATATAAGCATTAATGCCATCGACATTTTACGACAGCTGACGACCATTTAGAGCTGTCTCTCTTTCGCCCTTAAAGTTCCGGCCAAGTCGTTACATTACAAGCTTACTGTAATAATATTTAAAATTTTGAGAATTTCATGGGCAAACTTCCCTGGCAATTGAACGTCTTTTGATGACCAATGTCTGGGGGAATGTTGCAAGAAGCTTTAGTAGATTTTTAATTGATATTTCCCTGGCTAAATCCCTGATTCCTATGCCAGTATAATCTCTTTTGTTTCCCCCAACAGATTACCGCAACATTTTGGCTGCCTTTCACCTAATGGCATCTGACGTTGAGCGTCTGCTGCTGTTCATCATGATGCCGCTCATGCATTTGAAGTTTTGACAGTTGACTGTCAT